TTATCTCTCTCGCGTTCGCGCTTTTTGCCGCTTGCTGGCAGTGAACTTGAGCTTAAGGCGCTTTCGACTTGACTCTCTCGGGCGAAGGTAGAAATTCCGAACTCACGTCATAGCCAGCCTCTGGCACGGATCATGTGGAAAGATAGAGATAAATGTATTATGAGTAAATAATAAAATGTTGAATAATGGTAAAGACGAGACGGAAGAGGGGGCATTGCGTGAGTAATGCGGCGGCGCGGATTCCCTAACGATAAAACAGACAGCTGTGACGATTCTTCCTTTTCCCTTTTCCCCACTCTGATTCATACACATGTACATGTGTATGCATGTGTGTGTAAATCTTGATTGAAGAACTTTACGATTTATTAACACTCGACTGGAAAAAACAGGCGAGTTCTCAGACGGGTTAAGTGACGTCTATTCAAACGAGCAATCAACTTTCAATTTTTATTCAATTTAAGACTTGAGATTCCTCCACTCCTTTCCTCGAACATCTCGTTACGAGTATTCCTGGAACCTTGGGTATCCATTCAATAGAGCATCCACTGTAGGCACTCTACAGCATGAACTGCCATTCTTTCGTTCTCTTCTAGAACCTCGTGAATTTCTATAATTTTGCGCAATCAACTCGGCCATCAACGGGGCGTTGTAATGACCAACTAGGGGCACGCCAACTGCTTCAGGTTCAACAAGGCCCCTTAATTTGACAAAACCCCAAGTGGCAAACGTCTGTCAGATTCTCAGCAATGCAATGCTCCACTGTGCACGATCCGTTCAGAAGGAGCAAGAGCCCACTCATTGGTGAGAGGAGGCGATGGAAATCGAAGTTGTCAGCTTCGATTATGGCCGGGCCAAGGCAGCCAGAGCCATGGCAATCCTCCATTCGATCAGACAACGACTATTTATAGATAGCAAAGAGGACTTCTGCCCACTTTGGTGCCTTCTGGAGCACTCTTTTATGGATGCCCCGCACTAGAGTCAACTGGTTGGCTGCTTCAGATCCCCTGATGAATGTTTTCCCTCTGGGGGGAATGACAAAGCAGCATCTTAATTAAAATACAACAACAACAACAGCAGGTGAAGAATACTCGTTTAAACTCCGATAACATCTGACCTGGTCGGGTGCGTGCCTCCACGCACTTGAGATTGTTCTGTTTGCGATTATTTTCTTTAATTGTCAACTCCCGGAAATAAAAAATTCCCATTAGTCGGGGCTAAAAATACCCTGCAGATGGCACAGAGGCGTTGCAGTGGACCCCCTTTGAAATTGTTGACCCATAAATGCACGATTAATCTTGCTTTTATTTCGGCAAATCTTCTCCATATCTTATCGCGGGCGTTTATGATATCAAAAAGCGGGGAGGGGTTTGATAGCTGTATCATAAAATGTCACAAAATGTGTTTATGACAAACTAATTTACTTTGAATTATTGTTGTGTAAGTTGGTTACGATTTAGTCATGATTTAATGGAAAAAGGGTTTAACATGTGTTTATAGTAAAAGAATCAAGGGGTTTGTAATGTGAAAAGATTTATATGGAGTGTATTTTGTTGTTTAGATGCAGTACATATTTTGAAAATTTCAAGATCTGTTCACGCTTGGATCTAATTTACGATCAATTACGATGTAATGATCTGGCTTCGATTTATTTACAGAATTCATCGGAACCCAGGGGATCGGAGATTTTTAAACAGAAATTCTACTAAATCTTTCGCAGGCAGACACAGTTGAAGGAAATACTGGCGCTTCGGGCAGACTTCTCCTTTTCATATGGCAGCCACTCAACAGTCAGTTTTTCCTCAATCTGCCAAATCATATCCATCTTTCAACTTAAGGCTATTTATATTATTCAATGATCTTTCCACAGGGCAATAAATTTCACGCGTTTAGCATATCAAAGGATATGTCATGTTCACCGGGATTACAAGATCAACACGAAGGAGAGGCAGTTGAAGGTCTTTCCCTCCCACTCTGCCTCTCCATTACCCCTGCCCATTTGCATAAACAAGTTGAACGATTAACCGATCTCGGGCAACGACCACAAGCTGAGCCTTCTCCTCTCCAAGACTGCCTCTTGCCCTCCGCCCGCCTCGTCCATTTTTGAATATCTTTTTTGGAATACATATTTCAGACAGCACATGGCGCGAATTAAGGTCAAGCTGCAGCGGCGCCTGTTTATCCAAAATGGAAAATGAATTTAAAAATCAAGATACGCATAAGTATCGCCAAGTGTAATTATCATAATTTATATAAACAGCAGGAGAAATATATAAACCCAGCGCCGGGTGGCCCACAAGTGACTTTCCATCGGAATATGGAAATTCAAACTCATCCAAAAAGAGCGCCACGTTCAATTATACAATCCATGGATCCATGGATCGTCTCAAATTCAGGCTGTACTTTGCAGACAACCTGTCGACGCGTCGACGGAAGGAAAATCGATGCCAGTCCCACCAAAACCACCGAACCCACCGGTGTATGTAAAGTGCATGTTTATTTGCTTTGTTAATGAACATTTTTCAATGCACTTTTATTCCGGCTAAGATCAGCAGAAGTTGGCCACCATTTACACGCGCCTGACAACGAAATCGAATACTACAAAATACGTTGAAGTGGCTAAATATATTGGTAGGCAAAAGAGTTGAGTTGCTAGCCGTAATATGAGAGGCGATGGTTGTTTTTATGGAAAGGAGGAACCCGCCATTGACTGGGGCTTTTCTCTACTTAACTGCGAAGCTTATTTCTTGAAGAAAGTCACAATTTACTACTCCAGAAATCGGAATGTGATTTTTGTAAAAGGAATCGTATGAATAGTAGGAAAAATCTCCCCATAGCTTGCAAAAATCCCTCAAAAATAGTTGATGGACGGGGAGCAATGTAAACTATTTCATTTTGAATAATATTGAGATTTCCATCACAATTCCAATCCGAATGTTTATTGGACGAATCGTGTAATGGCTTATACTTTGGCACATGGCCAATACAGTTTCCCATGCCGCGATCTGGCAGTGAGCAAGTGGAAGGAAAACTCTGATCGAACGTGAGGCATTCCACGGGATTGATTAACTAATAAATAAAGACTAGGCCGGGCACCATGAAAAGCCACACAAACACACATTCACAGTGTGTCGGCAAACAAAAATTGTATTCCCCTTTTGCGTTTCAATAATTGATAAGCTATCGATGAGAGTGCCGCGAGTGCACTCCGAGTATGGGAAGAGGATGAGGCGATTTGGTGGATTTCCGCATGGAACAGGGCCATAAAGTGTATTTCCGAATAGCAAATACGCAAAAGAACCCAAGAGGTAGGAGGGGGCTATGGCGAAAATCGATTTTAAACCAAACAAAAGAGACCGAATCCCACGCAATCGATGAGCGAATTTCCTTTCCCTTTCCCGCTTTTTCACCTGCAAAAATGTATGAATTTCCACACACTCACACTCACCCACTGGCACACTCAAGCATTTGATGTGCATTCGATTTTCATTTGTTTATGTGACCGCCAAATGGAGGCGGTGGAGCACTTTTGTGTTTGCCGGCCAAGCCAAGCAAATCAATAAAATAGAGAGGTAACAAATATGGCTATATCCATCCGCTCCATGAATAATTCGGCGCCACAAATAAACACTTTCTTTGTATATTTTTGCGTAGTTTTGTATAATTGATTTACCTTTTGCCGAAGAAACGTAAATAAATGCGAAACCTTTTCGTTAAGCAGGCCGTGTTTGCGCCGTCATCGTTAGGTCTGATTTGTACACTTATTTTAAACAATTCGATTTCCCACGAATTGAATATCAGCACTGGTATTATATATGTAGTATACGACCGATTCGTAGTGGGATCTGTCAGAGTTAGCGGGACACAGAATCAGAAATTTATACACATCCGAGCACGAAAGCAGAAAACAGGCGAGTGTGGAGATAAGATTGCCGTTTGCCACTCAGTTGCCAGTGTTTCAGTCGCAGGCGGAACGAGAATGGCGACAGAAGAGAGCAGAGAATAAATACTCTCTCTGTTATCGCAACGAAACGTTATGGAAGTGGAATGCAGAAAGGAGAGGTCAAAGGTAATTTATAGAAGAGCTTTTGTAATGGTCTTTTAGGCAGGGTTTTTCTGGGACAACATTGCGGTGGCAACATTCAGGGGTTTTCCAAAAAAACCATTTATAGGACTTGCGCAATCTGGGTGTAAATACTTATCCCCATTATGTTATTTCGTGTTATGGCTATGGGGAGCATCCCTTACAGCCCTAGAAAGCTCATTAGTCATATGTCTCCTAATAAGTTAATTAATTAATTAAATTTACAATCAATGTGAACCCTTTCTCTAATGGAATTTATCAAGTATTCAATACAACAAAGACCATCACAAGAACCTACAACACCTTTGCATCCACCCTCCAACCCTTACAAGTTCTTTCCGAAACTCTATCCACTGTTCCATTCCCAAATCGTGGACTGATCAGAGAGAGCGACAGAAAGCGAGAGAGAGAGTGCTACCACTACGTCTGTTTTTATACCCTGTACTAAAAGAGCATACCTGATCTGCGCAGATGTATGCAACAGCCAGAAGGAATCCTCTGCGTAGACAATTGGAAAGAGAGAGAGAGAGAGACAGGGAGATATTCGGATCATAACAGATTAACATTATAACATAACTAGCTTCCCCTCCTTCCCTGTTGTTTCTGTTTTCCATATCCCATGACAAGCGCAGCGCAAGCCAAATTAAGAGACCCCTCCACCCCCTTTCCAATTTTAACAAACAAATCAATCTTTCCCATAAATACATAGAAAGAGAGAGAGAGCATGCGGCACTAATAGCGCACTATACCGATTGAGTGCTGACACTGAGTATCATAGTGTCGGGACACTTACCGACTCGTTTGTTATTTAAACAATTCGTTTCCATGCAGTGGCTGCGGCTGCGACTGTGGCGATGGTGGTCTGCTTTTCCAGTTTCATTCCATTTTCACCAGCCGAGCGGTTCGCGTCGGTGCATGTCGCTTGCATTCGGTTAACGGTACGTCTTCGTGAGGTTTCGATCGTCGGTATTCCCGTCGCTGCGCATGCGAAGGAGAGTCCGCAACGCATAGAAAAGTAGCAACAAGAACATCTTCGGAGAGGAGAGAAAAATGTGCAAGCAAACAAACAAAAATCGAGTGCGAATGGAGAAATGCAAGTGCAAATAATGGAACAGATTTTTTCGAGCGTACAAACAATGTATTTGGCTTTGCGCGTCGCCAGCAGTATTTGTTCAAAATTTTGACTCGGTCTTGGTCGATTGCAATCGCTCATCGCTTGCGCAATTCCCTTACCCACCAACTACTACTACTTACCACTCCCCTCGGAGCCGCTAAGAAAACGCCGACTTTACAGCATTATCGATTCGTTGGTGCAACCCAAAAATCAGCCACCGCCACCGTCGACGCTTATCACAGAAAGTGCCTTACTTTGTAAGACCCAACTGAATTATTGCCGATACGAATACCAAGGAAACGCTGAAACTCTTACCCAAAACAAACAGGGGAGCGTCCCGTCCCGTCCATTAGCACATACTCGAAGAAATCTCTCGGGTCGCGAGGATTATTCAAATATTTGTATCGCACTGTGCTAGTACGTTTGTGTGTGTCTGCCGCTGATAAGATGACCACCAAGTCGGTGTCCAGGTGCAATAGAGCCATAAATTGAGGCCACGTTTAAGCTCACTCCCAGTGCTCCCCCATTAGATAAACCCTCCGATACCATACCCCCTCCTGATAACACCGCAGCCTCAGAATGAGCAGCCTGCGTCCGGGCAGCGTTTGCGACACAACGCCGCTGCAGCGCTTCGAGAGCCAGAGCAGCAGCGGGGAGGAGCCATCGTCACCAACGGCAGCCAGCATCATAGCCGCCGCCGCTGCCGCTGCAGCCGCATCTTCGGCCACACCGACATCGACATCCAATCCCCACAATCTCAACAACAACAACAATGTAAAACTTGATTTACAGCTGCCGACATTCGTTGGAAGCTCGGGCCCAGGCCTGGGAAGTGGACTGGTAACCGGACCAGGATCCATTGTCCCCGGCAAGAGGCCGCTGCGAGGTCCGAAGAAGATTCTTGGACGTATTCTGCTGGACTTGTGTATGCTTAGCTGCGGTAAGTGGGGGAATTTGAATAGAAACGAGGGGAAAGGGGCCTCTCAGGGCAGTCATCAAAGGGTGGGAGCTACAGGAAGTGCTATATAACTTCCTGTTAGAAATATGTTCTCTTATAACAAAGAGTGGTTATTGATGGCCTTTATTAGATGGTAAGGGCAAATATAGGTAGGATAGTTATACAGGAATCGAAATAGGTTCCAGTAGAGATTTTCACTACACTCTGATTTAAGAGAGAGAGAGAACTTTAAACTTTTACAAATAAAAACTTCATAATGCATTTTTTAAAAAGAAACCCCATTCGAGTTGCTCCCATTTCCAGTGAAGAATTGAATTTCTTTTCTAATCTAAGTTCCGAATAAATCAATTTTGATGGAGGGAGCTCTAGCACAATAGCCTCTCCATCACGGCTATCACGTCTGCCCCCTTTCACACGTTTTATGATCTGTTATCATGTGGCAGCAATTGATCTCTTGCACTTGCAAGTCATTCCACCCATGCCACTTCTGAATCAATCACGCAGCCGCCTAAGATGTTTTCTGGCGCGAGAATGGGCCGCAGATGGGGTTCTATCTATTATACATACTGTATTTGCCGTATGTATAAATATCTATTGTATCTGAGGTGAGCAAGCGCCGCATTGTTTCCTCTCTAAGGCTCAGATGCGAAATGAAAACATTTCCAAATTGTTTTAAAATGCTTCCAGCAGTGTTTATTGATGATGGTGTTCCCTTGTGGCTTTTCGCTGTATGTATTAGTGTTTCAATGTTTTAATAATGAACAGACAGTTTTCGACCAAGCAAACCCTAAACAGAAGAAAACCAAAAACATATTCGCGCATCGAGTTTGGTCTGATTTATTTTATTCAATTTGTGGCAAGTTCTCATTTAGCAGGGGGAGAATTTGATTGTATTGTACCCGTTTCCATGTAAAAATCAGCAGCCACATAGTCATCATCACCATCACCATGGTCTGTGTTGTTTACCCAAGTCCAATTAAGGCTGGATCAGCAGACCTTGCTTTCATGAATTGGACACCATTGCGATTGCCCGCTGCTGGGCCACCCACTGGATGGGAAATCTCAAATAGCACTGGGCAGAATATCAAATACGACATGCTACATCCTTTCATGCTAGTGCCATGCCCTGATTTTCCATGTCTTTCCAGTGGGTCTGCCTATGCTGGGCTTTTCCTTGTGGGGCGAGCCCTTCAAGCGCGGCTTCTTCTGCAACGACACGTCCCTGAAGCATCCCTACAAGCACTCCACCATACGCAGCTGGATGCTGTACCTCATGTGTGGCGCTCTGCCCGTGGTTCTGGTAAGCCGAATGCACTTTTATTTGTATTCTTTTGATGACTAATTGGTTTACTTTCCACCAGATTATCCTCGTGGAGTTCTTCAGGGGGCAGGACAAGCGTTTGCATGGCACTTATAAGAGCCAGAAGACCAGGACTGGCAGTGGCTATCATCTCTGTCATCTGGAATTGCCCTATTGGCTGCTGGAGTGCTACCGCAAGATTGGCATCTTCATATTTGGCCTCGGCGTCGAGCAATTGACTGCGAATATAGCCAAGTATGCCATTGGAAGGCTGCGACCGCACTTTTTCACTGTAAGCAGAGTGGAACTCTCTCAAAGAATATTTTTACTGATTTGTGTATGTTTTTGTTGTATTAAAGCTCTGTCAGCCCGTTCTCTGGGATGGGAGCAATTGCAGCCATCCGATGAATGCCGGCCGTTACATCGAAGAGTTCACCTGTGGGGCAGCGGACATGAATGCCAAGAGGATCAAGGATATGAGTCTATCGTTCCCCAGCGGGCATGCCAGTTTCGCATTCTATGCCATGCTCTATACAGCAGTAGGTTCTCTTGATTATTATATAGAAATAACATCCATTAATTTATATATTTTCGTGTTTCTCCCTGAAGATCTACTTACAGCGCCGCATGCATTGGCCCAGGCTCAGAATGGTGCAACACTTCGTGCAGTTCCTGCTGCTCACTTTCGCCTGGTACACGGCCCTTACGCGCATCTCCGACTACAAGCATCATTGCTCCGATGTTCTGGCAGGAGCCGGCATTGGTATTACATATGCCATTATTGTGGTGAGTGTTACCAAGATATGCCAATGATTATAGTGGTTTTTAATCCTTGCTATGATTTGCAGACCTCGACAATGTGGTAGGCAAGACGATTCTTTTCACGGGGGTTCCAAACCGCCGCTACCCACCGCGCTGGCCTGCGATCGATCGCTTTAAGATGTTTCATCTACTGGATATTCAGTTTTACCTTTGTCTCAAATATGACCATCTCTAGAATATAAGCCACATATTTATCTACGATATATGTATGTCTGAGTGCACGTTTCAACCATTTTACTTAATAAATTTCAGTATATGTTTTAACATTATTCTGTTCTTTTTTCAATTGATTTATAACTGGGCACAAGAACAGAATTAACTTTTGACAGGCAGACGTTAGCATCTCTTAATTGCATGATAACATTCATAGGAATGTATTCCATATTCTGAGTAATGATTGGAGTTTTCTACGATACTGATTGTATGAAAGCCCCCAGTCAATTATTGTTTGGATTTCTGACAAAACAAAACTGATGTTCTCTCTCCCTCACAGAATGAGTTGATTGATCGTTCATGCTTAGGGGGGGTTTTGGTTTCTCAAAGGAGAGGGTTACATATGTACATAGATGTAGTTTTAGACTCTCAATTATTAATAGCTGTGCTCTTTCAATCTTTAATCTTTTGAACCAATCTTTGCCGCTCTACATTCCAATCCATATAATTTTATTTATCACGAGACACTCCCCAGCTGAAGTTTTGAAATCGCAGACTTACCAATATCATGTGTTAAGATCTCAGTGAATTGTTGCGATATTATGACCACACAAAACGAGCAATTTAAATCAAATTGCACAAGGAAGTGTCCTTGACGGGAGAGATTAATTACCACGAACCATTGGAAACTCGATTGGCACTCTCTGGGTCTGTTCAAGAGAGGTACGTGTAGATATTGGAGCCGGTAGGCGCCAGATACGAGTAGCAGTCGAAAACTGGCCAGATCCAGTTGGGAGATCTCTGATCTATGGCTAATTAGAGATCGGTGGTGTGGTGCAGTGTAGTGCAGTGTCTGCGGTAGTCAGCAATTTGTGGTTTTTAATTACTCCGTGGCAAATGCCCCCCCTGGACACCCGATCACCCCGATCAATTTTGCATATGATTTCCATATTAAACGAATTTATCGCCTGGGCCACTCAGCAAGTGAATGGACAGGATATGTATGTATGTATGTATAAGGAGCTGCTGCTGATGCTGCCTCCTGATGCATCGCTCAATCAGGCAGTCGCACAGCCAAGTGGCACTCACTCACTTTGCATTAGGAACTGCTGTTCCGTACACCATCTTCTATGTACATTGTGGAACCATCCCGGCTATCAGCACTCAGGCCACTCAGACAGCCAGGAGATTGATGGCGGCCATAAAGCGTGGACGCCAGAACATCGTCATTCGCTGGAGTACCGCTGGATTGTACCGAATTTCTATGCAAGCCTTTCGACAATTAACACCATTTTTATTCCGCTTTTATCGCAGTAATTGCATTTGATTCCCCCGTCCCCAAAGCATTTCCCCAATTCCCCAATACCCCAATTCTCAATTGCCCGCATCTGTTGTCAATTCTTTTTCTTGTTTTGTTCTTGATGCTTCTGATGTGGAGAGAGATTGGGGTTCTACGCGTGTCTGTCAATGGTTTCAAGTTTATGGAAAAGTGCACCAACGCTTGGCTGGATTATCGTCGCTATATTTATCAAAGTACAAACCTATACTTGCCAACAGACACGACTCTGAGTGTCGCCCCACAGTTGCAGAAGCCACAAAGAGAGTGATCGGAAGAGGGGCAGTGACGAAATGAATGTTTGGCTAGCCAGCGGGCTGGCAATTTTCGATTCAGGCGCGAAATTCATTTCGAAGCATGAAAATTACAGCATCGCAAAAAACAAAAGGCATTACGGATCTGTTTTTGGGGGGGGGGAAAGCTACAAAGGGTGGGTACAAGAATTATTACACGGACTAGTGCTTGGTACCTACATATAGACGATGGAAGGAGAGGTATACTGCATTTGGGGAGGATTTTGTGACTGATAGAGTGGTGATGATTAATGGGCACACATCGAAGGAAAGCAGTGACCAGTTCTTATGGTGATTCGGTTGTACGGTCATACGTTCTCCACCTATATCGAAACAGTCGTTCAATGACTCGTAGAAGACTTTAAAAACCTCCCATGTGTAGTCACTTCTGCCTTTTTACAGGGCACCAGCAGGCTGTGCTCTCTGGCACTTGCAGCCCACTTGTTCTAGCTGCAACAGCCAGTCGCATGGGCAGGCTGCTTTGTTGCAACAACATTTTCCTGCGCCGCCAGGCAAAGGCCACAACTCATTTCTCTTGTGTCCGGAGCGGGGCATAAAAGGCGTTAAGTTTGACCAGCACGTACACGACCCGGGAGAGACGGGCAGGGGCAGGGGAGTAGGAGTCGGAGTAGGAGGATAGGGTGGCATGGCTGGCCAGCAGGAGGCCAGGACGTGGGCAGGCGTGGGTATTTCAATCAGCGAATCAGCGCTGACCGCAGCCCTGCCCCCTATGGACGTGCAACGTGTGCAACCGCACAATAGGTGGGCCCAGGGCCGACCCGGGCCGACTGACATGTCCTGCGTCGCCTACGTGAACAATTATTTATTTGACTTGTTTTGGTCCTAGTCCTCAGTCTCTTGGTCTGCGTCTAGTCCTTGTCCCGATCGCTGTCCTGGCTCTGGAGGCGTTTGGCAATTAGTGACTTGGGCCGCTTTGCGACGTCTCTAAACGTTTATTAATGAGTTGCTGTCGGGATCCGAGATGCGATATGTGTCTGCCCCAAAGCGGAAATCTATAAATCTCGGCCGCGCTTTTGCAGATCCCCGATAAGACCCTGGCATTAGGTCTAAGTCAGCGAACGAACGCTGTGATGGGCGTGGCGGAGTGAATCAAATTTATGCGAATATTAGAAAAGTTACCCCCCTCTCTGCAGTCCGTTCCTTTATGATGCATGTTAACTGCTTTTGTTGGATTCCTGTTCTTAGCGTTGCTTGAGATATTTCCATTTGAATGGCCTTACATACAATCGTTTCCCAGCAGTTGGCAAATGTTGTCACGATCCGAGCCCAAGTGTCACATAAATAATGCAGCCGTGGCAGCCACCCCTTTTGGCATGTTGCAGCTAATGACATGGCTGAATGGCTCACAGCAGGAGGAGGAAGGCTGGGCAGAGCCCACTTTGACACCTCTCTTTGAAATCGGACCGCTTCTCGGCTATGGATCGGTTCGTTTCAGTTGGTTCACAGGACTGGCTGGAGAGTCGGGATCCGTGTGATGTATGGGATCGTGTTGGGTGGATATCTCGGGCCAATGTTTGCTGTTTGGACAGCTAACATGAGCGCGGAATAGATGGGCACATGTTTGGGCCACGAATTCCAGCCATTACGAGGAGATGAACACAGATTACTTTGATGAAGACTAATCCCAGTGAAATTGCTTATCAATTTTAAGCAAACATTTTCATCTTATAGGTAAATGGGGCTATTTGTGGGCCGTGCCATTCTGGCCGAAGTACGTTGGAATGGAAATTGCCAGCAATTTTCTCGATGCTGGATGCTGGACAATCTTCGTTGTGCACATTTTAATTGAATAAACACAGTGCAGCGGTTAGCCGTCTGTTTGCATTAAGAGTGCATTGCGGCCACCGATCAACTCTAATTAGCGGCAACAAGTCGAGACAAGCAAGAAAATGGACAACGGAAGCGTTCAATTATGCATGCCCCCCATGCCCATGCCCATGCCCCCAAGGTGGAGCCGCAGCTGCAGGTCCTGGGCCCCATTCGGGGTGTCAGAAATATTGTCATAGTCGTTGCTCGAGCAACACTTTTCTGCCTTTATCGATGCATATTCATCGATTTGCATACTGCCCGCTGGCCACGGGCCAAGTTGGTCAGCTCCCGCCTTCCCCTGCCCCTTCCGCTACCAGTTGACCGTCATCCGCATTGGTGTTGGCCATTATTGTGGCCAGTTTTATGCTGGCAGTGCGTGATACGCTTTTCCTTATCGCAGCCCGTGATTTATATCAGTCGTAAATATATTTGCAATAATCGATCGATCGGTATCCAAATATGAGGCGTGACGACATAATATTTTAATGTTCAGCGAACAGCTCTGCCATATGGCTGCTTCTGCTGCTGGCCGAGCACACACCCAGTGCCCAGGTAGGCGCGCTCCCGCTCTTGCTCACTGCGGCGACGGGCAGCCCGCTCCTCAGCCGTGTGCGTCATGTAGCTCTGGTGCCAATCACGATTGCGTCCCTAAAACAAGAGTTTCCATCGAGTGAGTGGCATCGATTGAGCGACGTTGTGGTCGACGCATTGACTCACCCTGGCGCAGTGCTTCTGCATGAGCTCCTCGTAAATCTGTCGATCCTCGCGTATGTTGTAGCCCACATCCTCGCGGTGGTTGGCCTCTGCCTGGCTGGCTGCAAGCTTCAGGTTCTGTTCGATTTGATCCTGAAGATCGGACAATTGTTTGCGGCGATTGACCTCATTCTGTTGCAGTTCCATTTCCCTCTTCCTCGCGTCATTCTCGGCAGCCACATTCAGGCTAAGGAAGAGACAATGTTGCATCAACATGGCATTAAGGAGCTATCTACCTACGCCTCGGCATAGGCCCGCTGCTCGGCGAGCACTTCCTGGTGGATTTGAGCCTTCTGCTGCTGATCCCTGGCTAGATTCTCGGCCTGACACTGGCCCTCGATTAGGCGGCGCAGCTGCTGCTCATACTGGTCCTGCTGGGCCCGGCTATCGTCCAAACGCTGCCACACCCGTTGCCAGAGGATCTCCACGCAGGCCTGGCGCCGCCTCAGAGCCTGGCGCTCCTCTATCTGCTGGAGCTGTGCCTGCTTGCTCTCCAACAGGATCTGTTTGGTTTGCATGTGGCGATGCGCCTCGGAGTTCTCGCTGCAAGGAGACAGGATTGGATTGGAGTGCAGCAAATGGGGGGCAAGGGAGACTCACATTTCCCGCTGCTGCTGCTTCACTTTCAGCAGCTCCTGCTCAGCCTCCTCCCGCTTCAGACGCTCCATGTGAATCCATTCGTGGCGTTTCCTTTCAGCCTCGTCGGCGCGTGCCTGCAGAAGTGCTGCCACCTCCTCGTCCACCTGCAGCGCCTCGCTGTGGAGCTGCACATAAAGCTGCCCGCGGCGGTCGTCCAAATCCTCTGACCATTCCCGCATTCGCTGTGCCACCTTCCAGCCGATTTGCGATTTGATATTTCGCCGGCTGGTGCGGTTAAGGAATTCGATGGTTTCCATGTCAAAGG